TTATACTGACCTATTGTTATTGGAGTGGACCAATAAATTGTTCTCATAAAATGTCTATTGTACGAAGATACGGGCAGTCACAGTAATAGTTATTGAGGGGGACAAATTTGGTCACCCTAATGTCATAATTCGAATTTATAATAATGATGATGAAGATAGATGTTACTAGTGACTTTGTCTCTTATTTAACTTTATTTCTTAATAAATTAAACAAAAGTTAATATACCAGTCAGTTAGTTAGTATACCATTAGGTATCTGTTAGTGAAAGTCCCGTCAAAATCGGTCCAGCCGTTTCAGAGATTAGCAAGAACAGGTAGATAATTTTTTTTTAAGTACCATATATGTATACTTTCTATATATTTAGTGAATGGCTGTTAATAAGAAATTACAAACTTACACTTTAATTCTATTTGTTTATTTATATATGTAGATGATGACTAGATGTGCCAGCACATCTGTGGTAATTTTTTAAATAAAAAATAAATTAGTTACATTTAGTTAAAACAAGTTTAAAAATAATTAGAAATAGTATAATATAAATATTTAAATTATATACCTAATTATATAGCCTAGTGTAGAACTACAGTAAATTAAAATGTAAATGTCTATCATGAATAATTATTATTATTATTAAATAGAACAACCACTCCTAACATACAAGCTTTCATACAAGTATTTATAACTAGAGACTCGAACCCATGACTATTGGACTGTAAAGCAGTTAAACCGCTATACCATCGAGGTAGTTATTTAAATGACAAATAATAATCACAAAAGTGTACGTGCCTAACATATAAATGTGTTTATTATAAAAACATTGACTCCCCAATAAAAACATTTTATCTGCACTAGAACTGAATAAATAAACGCTTGCCAATATAATCATTTTAGTTAACCTTCGTAAGAGCGTCGTGGTCTAGTGGTTGTTGCGTCGATTTACACCAAATGTTCCCGAGTTCGAATCTGACCGACACCAATAAACTTGTGTTCCGGTAAACATTGTTTTGCCATATGAATTAATATCGCTGTTAAAAAATAGAGGTTCATGGTATAAGTGTGTACATTTATAAAAGTAATATTTGTGTTTTATAATTATTATAATAAATTACAATTAATTAATATAATTATAAAAAAAAAGAAACAATGTACATACAATTTAAAAAAAAAAATTTAGTACCACTACCATCTCTTATCACTCAGGGATATGAAACATAAACCGACCTACTGAATATGCACATAAAGTTTCATAAAAATCGATCAAGCCGTTCGGAGGAGTATGGTAACTAACATTGTGACACGAGAAACTAGACTAATATTTTAAATCTGAAGAGTTTGTTTGGTTGAACGCGCTAATCTCAGGAACTACTGGTTCGAATTGAAAAATTATTTTTGTGTTGGAAAGTCCATTTGTCGAGGAAGTCTTTAAGCTATATACCATTACGCTACGACCAATAGTAGCGGAGCTGCAATGCAATATTGCATAAGGTGGGGAAATTAAACTCAGACGAAGTTGCGTGGCTCAGCTAGTATAAGATATAACTGTCTTTGAGATTATATTATCTGTAAATGTAGTTACAGATAATATAATCTCAAAGAGCACAGTATATAAAAACAACATTACGAATACAAATACTGCATCCCTCATAATGGTTTCCTGTTAATGTACGTAAATAGTAAATAAAGTAAGGGGTGCCACTCGCCCCGTAGACTGTCCGCCACCGCACCCCCTCTATCCCTCTCATATATAGCCGCCATTGCGTCGCCATGCATTATTCTCCATAACAATCTATTTGGAGTAAATATTGTGCAACCGTTCTATTCCTTACTAATATTATTAATCTGAAAGTAGGTATGTTTGTTACGCTTTCACGCAAAACTACTGTACCGATCATCATGAAATTGTAATTGAATTGAAACATGAAAAAAAACAAAAATAAAAATATCAACATTTTTATTTTTTGTTTGTTTATAAAAAATATTTGTTTTTTTTTAAATAAAAAAGATGTTATGTTCATTCTAATACCTCCAAGAACATGTGTATAAAATTTCATGATGATCGGTTCAGTAGTTTTTGCGTGAAAGCGTAACAAACATAAATATAAAAATAAATATTTTTTGTTTTTGTCATCTAGCAGCCAATAAGGAAGTTATGCGAGCGGAGCCGCGGGTAAAAGCTAGTATTATATAAAATAACTGTTTGTCTGTTTGTTATCTTTCCATGACTAAGTCCAAGTCTCAGTTACTTGAGGTTCGGACGGTACGGAGTTTTGGACTGTACGATTTCGCTGATGATGTGGTTAATAATAATAATACACATGGACAATTCACACAACGCCATCTAGTCCCAAGGTAAGCAGGCAAGACATAATGGGACATTACATTGCTAAAATCTCTGCTAGCTTTAAAGCATCAGTAAAATCTCATTTCCTCTCCCTCTAGTTCCATTTTTCCTTCTTTTTCCCTTTCTTTAAATTTATGTATCTATATGTAGGTATATACATATATATGTATATTTACATATATTGTTTATGTATTAGTTATTTTGTTACTTGTACCGCCTACACTTTGTATATACCTTCACCGTCTACCTAAAGGTTGCCTGTAAGAGATTACTTAGCGATAAGACCGCCTTTGTACCTATGATTGTATGTGTACTAGCTGTCCCGGCAAACGTTGTTTTGCCTTAAAATAAAAAAAAAAGTTCTTCAATGACATTTGGTTTGGTTTTACTGTATTTATATTCAGATGCATGTAATAAAAAACGTTTATTTCAATATTACAAACAGACACACCAATTTTATTTATATGTATAGATTATGTCACATTTTACGTCAATTTTTATATTAAAAAAAATACATATATTTATAAAAAGAATGGTGAATAAGCAACACAAACTTTATACTCACAATAATGGAAAATGAAGGAATCTTTGGGATTACAATTGTCCCACGTCGAATTATTCCAAACCGCAGTTATACCCTCGTTTAATATCCTAAATGTATCTTTTAACTCAGTGGTAATGTTTTTAGTTTTAAGCAAACATTCCAATTGGACTGGGGTGTCTCCCATCCCCTAGATGCAACCCCGTCAATACGACGCCAGCTTGAAAAGTTTGTGGAGTCTAGTAAATTTTCAGATGTGATTCTATTCTAGTTGCCCGATGGTCGAAATCCTATATTACCTACCTACCTTATTTAGACCATAATTAATTTAACATTCAGTAATTCAAAATTCTTTATGTAACACAATTTTTACTAAGTTCAATAACGTTGTTAAAGCAATCCTATTAGGCATTAAAATCCCTATGTCAGGAGACTCCACTCATCCATAGCTTGTATAAGTTTATATTATAGTAATATTTATATATTATATTATATACTTATAGCATAAGTTTTGAACTAAATATTCCTTATACTATCTGTTATATTTTCTGTATTATATAATTCTATTTTGATACGGCACGATGATTTCATGAAAATTATTATTGAGGGGAAAATAGAAGGAAAGAGGGGGAGGGGAAGACCAAGGCATAGCTACATCAAACAAATTGAGGACAAAATGGGAGTCGTGTCGTATCAAGACTTAAAGAGCAAGAATTAAAGGGCATGATGGAAGATCGCGGAAAGTGGCAAGAGCTCCACCGACAAGAGCGTAGCTCTTAAATTATGAATGAATGAAATGAATGATAATTCTATTTTAAATATATACATTATAGGACTATGACGGAGAATATGAGCTTGAAAGTAACACTATAAACAGATAATATTAAAGACAAACAATAATAAACTATTCTCAATTTGACCACAGACTCTAACAATGAACAAAATGGTATATATGTATGTGTGTATGTATACATGGTACTGTATATAATGTTTTTTTTATTGAAAATGTAATATTTTTTATGCAAATTAAAAATAAATTGCGTTCTGCACTCTATATCTTACTAATATTATAAACGCGAAAGTATGGATGTATAGATGGGTGGCTGGATGTTTGTTACTCTTTCACGCAAAAACTACTGAATGGATTTTAATGAAACTCTACAATAATATAGCTCATATATCAGAATAACACATAAGCTATTAATTTCACGCGGGTTCACTCCTACCATTTTCGTAAAAAGGGCACAATGTTATTGCTTCACGTATGAATATTTCGTTTCAAACTTTCATTTGTAAAATATAATATTATAATGAAATAGATTGTAAAAACATACATATAAAGTACGAATGTTATGGATTTGAACCCGTTATCGATTATTTTTGTCACAAGCTTCACTTTATCATCTCTTGCATTCATTCATCCTAGGTTTGTTCTATCCCGAAATCTCCCAGTCGCATCTCAACTGTAATTCGGACAACACGCGGACTCTCCCGCGTTTCTGCTCGCCTAGTACTTTATTAGTGAATTTCAAACTAACTTTTGGGTGAATTATTTTATTGCGTATTAATTAGTAATTGAGCATAATTACTAAGTGTTTTTTTTATATTTTAAATGTGAGTTAAATTATTATATAATTAAATACATACATAAAATTAACTAAAATATTTCTGCAAAAATCTGTGAAATTTTAATTCGTCAGAATTCGAGCAGGTAATTAAAATAGATTTATTATATTGAGTCATTATAGACAGCGTCCCGGTTTCGTATGGATGCATTACAAACCTAGAAACGTTTTGAATAAATCTATTGCTTAAAACTGCATTAAAATCCTTTGCGTAATTTAAAAGATATAATCAAAAGATACAATTATCTACACCACCTATCGTTGACTGTTGTGTCCTGTCGTTAAGTTAAATAAATAAATAATCAAACAGACAGCGCCAGCGATTTTGGTTTATGCTCTATAAAGATACAATTAACTAAAAGTTCACAAAATCACTAGTAGTGCTACTACTACCATTACAATAAGCTGTAACTAAGTGATATTTACTGATCATATCTTGCATCCATTCATCCTAGATATGTGTTCCCGAATTCTCTCCCAGTCGCGTTCCAACTGTAATTGGAATAACACGTGGGCTCTCCCGCATTTCTGTTCCCCTAGTACTTTATTAGTGCATTTTTAATGGAACTTGTGAGTGATGATTGTTTTTTATGTTAGTTTTACACATAATTACTAAGTAAGTAATTTTATATTTTATAGTCAATTTATGGATAAATTATGTATTATTTTTAAAATGTTATGGTTATTTTTGTACTAATATTTAATAACTAAAGAAATTCTTTATTTTTCCGGATGAAATCGAGACATTAAACTATAACTATCAATGATGGAATAAAATGTCATTTGACTCTTTCAGAAACACAAATATTTCGATAACCAAACATAATATCTTATATGTAAAATTCTCGTGTCACAGTTTTCGTTCCCATACTCCTCCGAAACGGCTTGACCGATTCTCATGAAATTTTGTGAGCGTATTGAGTAGATCTGAGAATCGGCCAACATCTATTTTTCATCCCCCTAAATGTTAGGGGTAGTCCACCCCTAATTTTTTTTTTATTTTAAGGCAAAACAACGTTTGCCGGGACAGCTAGTATACCTATATAGATTCATACAAATTATAGTACTTTAATAAAAAAAATCCGTTGACTATATAAAATATTGTATTTGGTTTTTGACCACCGACGCAAAAAGGATGTTAGAAGTTTACCTATCTGTGTATGTTTAAACCAACAGATTAGAATGTTTTTTTAGTGTGATAGTTAACGTGACCGAAACGGTTCTTATATACAACTAGCTGTTCCCGCGACTTTGTCCGTGGAATTTAACTTTATTTTTCTAAAATAAAAGTAGCCTAAATTACTTCTTATTACCTCAGCTACTTGCCCAATAAAGTCCCGTCAAAATCGGTTCAGCCACTTCAGAGATTACCCGGAACAAACAGACAGACAGACAGACAAAAATTGTAAAAAGTGGTTATTTGGTGTATGTACCGTATATATATTCATATGAATGTAGTAAAAAGCAGTTATTTCAATATTATAAACAGACACTCCAATTTTATTTATGTATGGTATTAAGTAATTTAAATTTATTAATTTTAACTCTCATTTATAAACCGATTTAGATTAAATTAAAAGTTTATATATACTTTCAGATTTATTGTTTTTCTTTCAATTTACTTTCTAAATTTAAAAGAAATGCGACTAAACGCTCCATTTAGTTTAAGCTTGTTTATTGGAAAAGTTGTGTTTTTAATGGAGTTATAGTTGTAACTAAAAATAACGGTTCTACTAAACTAAAGCCAATAGTTGTAACTATAAACAACGGTTCTGACTAAAGTCAAATCATCCGAGTTAACTAATTCGGTAACACAAAGAGTGCATGTTACATCAATTAAGCCAATTGAATATTCGTTCGTTCTCTTGTGAATATAACAGATGTTCTTTAATTAACATTATATAATAGGTCATATATAAGGGAATCTCCATTAAGAATTATAACAGTCATGAAAGTATGAGTGTTCACTTGCAATCAGCATATTATACGGGTTCGAGTCCTGGCACGGTATGAATGATTTATTATTTATTTGCAGGCAAATACGGTAGATATATTGTTTCACAAAAAACAAACGTGATGTGCCATAATCTGGCATATAAAAAAAATGAAATATTCAATAATTATATAAAATAACTAGCTATTCCTAGATTTAACTTTATTTTTCTAGAATAATCTAGAATAAAAGTAGCCTAAGTTACCACTTATTACATCAGATACCTGCCAAAAAAAGTACCGTAAAAATCTGTCCATCCATCATCCATTCATTTCAGAGATTAGCCGAAACAAACAGACAGACAAAAATTGTAAAAAATGTTATTTTATATATACATGTAGTAAAAATCTGTTATTTCAATATTACAAACGTCTGTTTGTAATATTGAAACGAACCGGTAACCATCGGATATAAAGCGGTGTGCTCAACCACTAAACCACCGAGGCCCTCAAATATAATAACATTCTGAATATGTAAAAGGAAACGAGAGATGTAACGACGCACAAAATTTATCAATTTATTATCTAAATGGATCACAATATCCTCTGCAGCAATTTCAATACAATTAACTAACGACCATTCCTGTGCATTGTTGACATATCAAATATCACAATGGTTTTTTGGACACGGATGTATATTATGTTCTATTCTATGCTCTGTTTTTTTATGTTAGATACAAATTTGACATGACCTGTGTTGCCAGCTTTTTTTCCTTCCTAAATAGTGTTGTGACATAATCGGAAATTAATAATTTTTTTTTTTTTTCGGAATACCAAGGCTATTTACAAACAGTTATAAACATAATTAAATCAGAACAGCCATCTACAGGTTTTCACGTATAAAAACGTAATATAAAATCAATTACAGTACTAACACGAAAGTCGTGTTTGTGTCATAAGTACTCATAAAATCATATATCAAAAAATAACAATCTACAAAACAAACTACAAAATTCTGAAACCATAAAAAACAAATATTTTTAAATAATGTAAATGCATACAAGTAACATTAAATTCGATACTTATAAATCAAAGAATTCGAAAAACAAATCAATATCTAATACCCTACTTGATTTATTGAAATTATTACTTGCTCGCCACATATAACTGTTTTGCCTATAGTTGATGATACAGAAGATCCGATTTACACTCAAATAATATGTAGGTGTTCATTTAACACGGATTAACACAATATTAATAAAGTATTAATTTTGGATTTTAATTCTGGATTAATAAAGTTAAATAGGGTTGTTTTATCAAAATAGAATTTATTTATTGACATATGGGTTTTTCAAATAGGTAACGTGTGTATTATTATAGTTATATATATACATAAAACAAAGATTACCTGCATTTTTTTTTTATTAAAGAAATAAACTTTGTATTTCATATATAGTATGTTATATGCACACTTTAGCTATTTGAAAGAAAAATATAATTGGTTTGTAGCTTATTTATTTTTTTATTTATTTAGTATTTTTGTGTTGTTTAATTCAAAGACATTAATGGAAATACTAGTGTACGCATATTTTGAAAATATGTTGAAGAAACTACTTATAATGCTGCGGTAGAAAGCTATAAAACTAATCGTATAAAATAAAAAAAAAAACAAAAATTAGTATAGCAACACTCCCCCGTTACAGCTGGTAACATTATTTGAAAATTTGAATTTGTACTCTAATAGTGTCTGACAATTTCTTTTTAGTTTTCTTTTTATTGCCTACGTGTATCGAATAAACATTTATCTATCTTTCTAACATATAAAAATTAAATTATGCTAATAATATAGTTAATTATTAAAACACTAATTATTGTAATTAAGCTTATGTAATGTTCAGTGGATAAATAGTGGCAGTATATATAATTAATTCTTTCAAAGATTACATCATATCCATTAATAGTCGTACAATATATAATACTGTTGCTAAGGAACATTATGAAAGTACTAAATTTATGTGTTGGATATTACTTCCTACTTCCTTAAATATGCCTAATGATTATGCTATATCAGGAGCAATGTCATCATCTGCTTCTTCTTTATCCCATTTATTTATAGTCGGCGTAATATGTTTTTCTCTTCCATTCATCCCTGTTCGCAGTAATCTCGTTATTTACCCCCTTTCTTACCATATCATTTTTCACACAGTCCACCCACCTCTTTTTCGGTCCTCTTATTCTCTTAACATTCATATACCTTTTAAAATAGTACATCAGGAGCAATGTATTGTGTATTAATTATTAATAGAAAAAATCAAAATGTACTACATTTCAAAATGTTCTGTTTACTAGAAACTTTTCTATGGTTCATAGTAGAGATAATATGATCACTACTTTATTAAGTATCACTGTTTGTTAACTTTTGACAACTAAACGGTGGAATGGATCTTATTCTACAAAAAGAATCATCTGTTAACTTTCTTATCTTACTCTCCTTTTATGCATATCATCTTTTCTTCATTCGTCTTCTCCCTTTACGTCATATAAATTTGACCAAGATCACATCTCTATTAATTTTTTTAGTTATCTTGAGATACGGGACTGTCTCCGTACTCTTGATACAATCCATTCTTATTTCTAACATCAGACTGACAAACTTTTGTATTTATAACATTATATAGACTGGTATAGATTTCTATAACGAAATTATTTATATCAAATGTAAGCCTTGGTTACAATTCACAATGGATTCTTTTATTTTGTTTTAAAATGGAACAAAGATATTATCCTAAGATATTCAGGAAAGTGTCCACAATAGGTGTTTCTGCAATGTCTTTCCGCAATCTGTGAGTCTGAGCACGTCAATATTGGCGGGAAATAGCCTGCTGCAACCGTCACGGCGCCGCAGCGCCATTTTCTTTTCCCGCGCTTGCTTATGGAACATTGCTTTTTATTTTCGTGTTTATTATGTTCGACAACATCTGAAGTGCCACGTTTTTGTTTTTTAATCTTTATTTAAATATAATAAAATCGATAGAATCTATACATATAAATAAAATTGGAGTGTCTGTTTGTAATATTGAAATAACCGTTTTTACTATAAGTACATAAATATAAATACGGTACATACACCAAAATAATATGTATTACAATTTTTGTCAGTCTGTCTGTCTGTCTGTTCCGGCTAATCTCTGAAATGGCTGGACCGATTTTGACGGGACTTTTATTGGCAGGTAGCTCATGTAATAAGGAGTAACTTAAGCTACCTTTATTTTAGAAAAATAAAGTTAAACTCCACGCGGGCGAAGTCGCGTGTATAGCTAGTTAGTAATAAATGTGATAGTATACCAACATAATGTTTAGTGTTACGTAGACAATAAAATCTAAAGTGCCATTGTTATCCGGTAATCTAAAAAAAACATAATAATATATGCATACTCTGAGATTAATACATATAATAAATACATAATACATATCATAATATTAATCCAATTCGAATTCAATTTATTTACTGCAACTTATGTACGTAATCTTGAAAAACTGCATTCTGTAAACTTTCGAGAAAACCTCGGCAGGTAATTCCACAATCAAAATGTACGCGGGAGGAAGCTCCTCTGAAACCGCACTGTCCGAGACCACTTAGGTTCCAGCGTGTGGAGATGAATTCCCTGTCGATGGCAAGCGGTG